ATGAGGTGGAATCTGTACATATGAGGAATGATGGAGTTATCTTGCCCTCTGTCTGGGATGATTGAAAGGGCAATTATTATTCGCCTGTTAATATTTAGGTTCAAGAGGAAGTGTAAAAAAGTTTATGTCCAAGTTGAAGAGTGGTGGGGATGGTGTGTCAGATGAGTTGTGTAAGGGGGATTTGGTGTGGTCTTCTAGAAGTCACCGGTTGAACAATGTTGAAACGTGGATTTATAGAGGTATATAGCAAGCGAATTGATGAAACGTTATGTAACAGTATTTGTATGATCAGTTGTTAACGGCGTGATGCAAGTGACGCCAGTTCTGAACCCCAAATTGCCTACCTAGTATCATCTACATCTCAACACCTCTTGTCTCTTTGTTTGAGTACACAGTGTATGGATTTAGAACCGTACATGGTTGAGATGGGGGTCGCAGAGAAGTAACCTGAGCCTTAATGAGGCATTTGAGAGAAAAGCAAGGCTTGTTACAGAGATGAAAGTGAGCTTCCCTGGTGCCAATCCTGGTCGACAGATACCTCAAGTGGCCGGTCTCTCAGTTCTTGTATCGATGCCAACGCCCATTAAGCCAATACTAACCAGTCTATGGCACTCTTTGGATGAGGGACACGAAAAAGACACGCAAAACAATTCTGGGATTTTTATGATCTGATGATAGTCTCTGAAACTAAGTTTTGCAGCAGCACACAACGGGACAGTCTCTGGCTGCGTGAATGTTCTCTGGTACACCAATGTCCTTCGAAACCAACGGACAAACGCCTAAAGATAGAAGAAACCTTCGAAGCAACAATATCGCAAAAACAAAAGTGCACATAACCAGTGCCATAACTCCAAGCCTTCCAAACTCCAGGCTCAAGGCAAGTAAATTAGGGGGAATGAAATGCCTCTACTCCACGAGGAAAGGCCTTTGCAAAATGTGAGATCGAGCAGTTGCCTGTCTTTGAAGCGATCAGTGTCCCTTAAGGGACTCCAGCATGGCCAACTCCTTACGCCGTTTCTTCTCTGCCCATTCCCGGCTCGCAATTCTAGAGCGCTCCGCAGCCTGCTCACGAGCAAGGCGTGTTGCTTCTTCACGTTCGCGCCTCTCACGCTCTCTGTCTCGTGTGAAGCTTGTGTTGTCTCGCTGGAAAATCTCCTTCCCACGAAGTCTCAGTTGGTAAGCCTCTTCTGCAGTGAGTGTAGTTCGCTTCCCACCGCCGCTTCCTGTAGAAGTTGAGGTAGCCCGGCTAAGATCTTCTCGTGATGTTGCAGTGGAAAGGCGACCTCGACTCTGGGTAGCCGGAGCCTCTGACATGGTGGGTGGTCGTGGGCCCTGCATTGACATCCGCTTTAATTTAGTTGAGGTTGATGTCTTAGTTGCCTCGTCTTGCGGGAGCTTGCCTTGTCGAGCAAGACTGGTAATCGTTTCTCGCGGAATGCTACCCGGCATTAAACTATGACGCACAGGCCTCGCTTTGAACTCCCGTTTCTTTTGTTCCTCTTCTTCTTGTGCCTTGAGCCGGGCCTCACGCTCCTCACGCTTACGGCGAGAGATCGCCTCTCCTGGAAGCTCGAAGTTCGGCTTGGTAAGTGGTTTGCTAGACTTTGGTCTCGGAGGAGGCGCATAAGCTTTCTGAGCCTCAGCCTGTTGGGCTCGACGAGCCTCGCGCTGTTCCTTCAGGCGTCGAGAAACAGCCTCACCAGGAAGCTCAAATTTGGGGACAGTAGGAGGCTTTGTAGACTTGACGGGCGCCTTCAACGGTGCGGAGTGAGAGTTGGTCAGCTTTCCGCGTGCAGCAGTCAGTGGTTTTAAATTCGGGATGATGTCGGAGTCGTCCTGCTTCTTGTCTCTAAATACCAGAGAGGTTGATCGTCGAAGAGGAAGCTGTGGTCTTTCAGTCTGTTTGATGCGGACTGTGGAAGACATGCCGATGACTGATGCCCTCTTCGAAACGGTCGGCTTCTTACCCGTGGATGGTGGTTCGAGATGCTTGTTACTGGGTGCAGTATTCTCAGGCACAGGAATGCGTTGTGGCTGGGTGAAAGCCTTGATGGCTTCGAGCTCATCCTCAAGTTTATCAAGTTCCTCGAAAGAGTCCTCGATTCGGGGCACCGAGAAGGATCCGGTCCTAGAAGAACTTGCGTAACTACTGCCTCTCTCACTAATCAAAGTAAGAGAAGGCGAAACAGGCTCTACCGTCTCGACGACCTCGGGAATCTTAAGTGGGACATTCTGATGAAGCTCATATGCTGGAGGCGGAGGCAGTGCCATCTTAACTTGAGAAGGATCAAATCCCAAAGCCAGATACTCCTCAGCAATCAATGGTGTGGCTAGAAGATTGAAGACGTCAGCTTTGGAATTGCCGGCGGGGCCCGGACGTCGTGACAGCAAAGTGCAGCCATGAACCGCTAACTCGACGTCGTGGCGATGGTTCTCACTGTCGTCCGAAGAGCCATGGTCCTTGGAGGTACTTGCTGGCACTGGAAACGCCACGAGCCATTCAAACTGACCTGCTAGATGACTCTCTAAGTTATGTCCAATTTGAGGCTCTGCATCCAACAACGGGTGTGAATAGACTGTGGTTCCTTTGTGGGCTGTGTTAGCAGATTGTACAACAATGGCGCAGGAAATTTACAAGCTGTGACTTGGAGTGATGATGAAAGACGCAAGAAACGAACCTGGAGAAGGTAGCTTGTGTGAAGTTAAAGCTGAAGGCCCACCGGGCGCAGTATCCGAGTCGCTGGATTCGATTGATTCTTCAGGAACCGCATCGAGGAGTTCGAAGCTGTCGGAATCAACAAGTGAGCGCCGTGGCCCTCGAGATGTGATTGTCTTTGTCGGCAGATTGATAGGACCAGTCTTCAAGTACAATTGCTGGTTTTGGTTGTTCTCCCTTCGGGACGAGTTCCAAGCAAGACTCTTGTTATGAACTTGATCAGCTGAAAGCTCTTGGAGAATCCCTCGAGATGACGGAGAGGGAGAGGGGATCGAAGAGGGACGTGTATCAGAATTGGGCTCGATGAAATTAACATCCTGGCTGGCCTCGGGCCTTGGAAAGACCAGGGTCTCGTTAGTGGCACGGTGGACTTGGGGTTGATGACCCATGATAGTAGCCATGGATGCGGATATGGCCTCTGAACAATGAGCCTCTTCGACGGAGTTCTCGATGGAGCCGAGGGAGACCCCTAGGCTAACAACGAGGCTAGAGAGCCAGGGCTGAGCTGTGAGAGGCTCTTGAGAGACAATGATTAGAGATTGGAGCGCCACCAGACGTGTCGTAGTTCAAATTCCAGGGAATATTAGCCAGGGACCTGAGCGCAATTTCACGAGGAGCAGGGATAATAGTATCAAAGCGACGGCCAACAGCGGGGCCTTGTCTGAGTGTGATAAATGCAGAGGCCAATGTGATGTGATGGATGTGATCAAAATTGACGAAACCGAAAACGATCAAAATATCTAGCAATGGTGAACGGGGAGAGATGATGAGATGCTGATGCTGATGATGATGGGGAGGGGAGGGGAAGAAAGCTTGTAAGTTGGGCAACGTCAATAAAAACAAACAACAAAAAGAGCCACGGCAACCGCAAACCTGCATATTGTCATCCTACTACAGTCTCTTGCAGTTACAGGCTGTGCCTTCTATATTATTACCTCCATCAGGCACTTCGAGTACCTTGAATCTCTCTGTTCTTACAAATCCAACCGCCAAACGCCATCTGAACTCTATCCATAACTGTAACCTTCATAAATCAATTGTCGAGTCATGTCTATCATTTCACAATTTCAACGGCTTTTGTCTCCACGAACTCATAGTCGCGTCTCATTGGTCGACTTATAAGATGACTGCCCCAGAGCGGGAGTCCCACTGTGCAGCTCATACCTACATAAGTTCCAAGTGGGTTAATACTAATCTTCAGCTCCAGATGTGTCTAAATAGAATCATCATCTCGGTACTCCGTCTAGCCTATTAGACAGTTAAATATAGGTAAACCCGCTGATTAGGACAGCCAACATCTAAACTTTATCAAGTCTTTGGAATCTCGAAGTCCATACCAACCAAGCCTGCCGTGTTCTGGACTATTACTCTATGTATTCTTGGGCTTTTATCTCGTTGCCTAGGGTTGAGTTAATGAGATCCACTTCTACTGCATATGCGGTTCGAAATCACAATCACAAGTAGATATCAACAATTATCCTTTGTATCATGATGATTGCTGTAAAAGTTTCACCCGAGGGCTCAAATTAAGCCAGTGAAACTCCCAATATTACGTGAATTTTCTTGTCCTTACTAGAAAGTCCGGAGGAGGGTTGAGGAATCAGCCATGGGAGAGGACACAAAGTATATAGCCACCTATATCGTCGCTCCATACCAATAAGAACTCTATCAACGAAATTAGGTAGCTACTAAGCCTGTAGAACCTGGCGAGGGAATCATAGCTAAACACACTCGAATTCCTCGTTCAGCCTGCGATAGCTCCACCAGATCGTCCTCGAATCGAAACTTTTGTTGCCTCTTTTCAGCCAAACAGGGGATCAGTCAACGCCGATGTCCCCCTTCAAGGACCACCCCAAGTCCACCCAGCATCCTGATGGCTTTGGGTTGGGAACTTATAGCCGGAGACGGGAAACCTAGGTGTCTTCTGAGAACAAGTCTGATTTATGTGTGTCAATCTTATTCTTCATGCTGAAAACTCATTCATCCGGAAGCCCCCTCCCAGACATGAGTTCAGGTGTTCTATAAATCCCAGGCGGCACTCGAGGCACAATTGGGGCGTGATGGCAGAACACTGGGCTGAGGATATTTGGGAACTGCAAGTGATTGCTGCTGCCTGGCTCAAGAATGCCGATATTTCGTGGAGGTGGCAAAAAGCGTGCGGTGTCTATCAAATAGATGTTGCATGTAGCGTTTACCCATAGAAGCACCTATGAACCGCAAGGCACCCTACAGACTGCCAGAAGATATGTCGGTTTCGTAATTTTTCCCTGATGATCAAGTTTGTTCATGACTCTTCTTCTTCGGCTGCGGCTTCTGCAGCTTCTGCCTGGGCTTGAAGAGCTGGTGCATGCTCCGTTGGGATTCGTACTAGAGTTTGTGGCAGAGGCCCTGTCGAATCTTCCGATACGTTTGTGGGATCGGCTGCCGTCTTGGCCAATTTGGCTATCGGAAAGTTAGACAAGACCAACAGTCATAAACTTTTGATAACCTACAAGAAGCCATGTTGATGGCACGTAACACATTATGCCAGTTTCCAACAACGGCTGCAATTGCTGCAGAGAGTCAGTCTAAGCACTAAATAGCTTCACATAGGATCATTACCCTCTGTTCCGTCGGATAGGGTCGAGAGTTTCTGTTCCAAAGCTTCCATTTGTGTTGCGACCGCTGCACTGAGCTCTCGAAGCTCTTTGAGGTTTTCGAGTTCGGCCTTTTTCTCTTCGATTCGCGCTGATAATGCCGGTGACTGTCCACTCGATGAAGCCGACGCGCTCGGTGCACGCATATGCGAGGAAATCGGTCGCGTTGGATATGACATGGTCGGATTTATGGCGTGTCACCAAACTTGAAATAATTCGCGACGTCTTTAGCAGTAAACCCCAACACTGCGTTTCCGTCCAACGATGGTGGGGTTCACCATGGGGGGGTCCCGTCACTAGGGCAACCAGTAACCAAGCGCTATGACAAAAACAGTTACGACAGTAAATAGATGCAACCAAAAATTCCCTTTTCCAGACCGACATCCAACAACACTCTGTGACTTGTGCGAGAGCATATCAGCAACGTCCCTACTAACTCCACAGGAAGCCTCTGCTCACCTCGCCACGATCCATCGCATTATGAGCTATGGCTAGACTGAACGAACCCCCCGTGTCTACGGACAGTCTCGAAACGCGTATGTTCCAACATCTAGAGCTCCTATGAGTAACATGACGCGAGCTGACCATGTCTTGTGATATAGTTCGAAAGAAACTCCTACGCCAGAACCGCGATCTTGCAAAATCAAACAACATACGTGCCCTTCGCATCCGAGAACTCGAGAATGACTGCGCCTGTATGCTATCAGAGAACCTGGAGCTCAGAGGCCGTATCATAGAGCTAGAGAAAGAGCTCGAAGATAACGACACTCGACGAATTGCTGATCATGCACTTGCTATCAAGGCAAAACTCGAATCCCAACTTACAGAATGGGGTACCCTTCTTGCTGGTCTTGGTCTTGAGCCGCCTATGAAGCGACACTCTCCACGACCAAGAAAGTCAACAAAGCCCAGGGTAAGCTTCAGCTCAGCTCGACCCAGTCCTTCACAGCGACGCCTTAGAGATATGGCCCGTGAAATTGAGGAACTGGGACATATTTCAGAAACCAAGTCCTATCCGAGACAGTCCATGAAGTGAGTCATTCGATCAACATAGACAGAAGTTCTCTAACAAGACGCAGTCAAGAACAAATCCTAGCACTTCGGTCAGAGGCCGACAATGATGACATGGCCGACACATCTCAGTCACCAGAAATTGGACCTCCTCCCGTCTCCCATTTCATCGAGGAGGAAGAGGAGCCTGTCAAGGTTGACTCACCTACACACTCACGCCCTCCACCGAAACCTACACCAGCACCCGTACAAGAAAGTCCCACAAGGAAACTCGCGCCACCCGAAAAGCTCACATCACCTCAGACCACCAAGACCTTACCGAGATCACCTTCGCCCGAAAAGAAGCAGCACGCAAATGCCACCAAACCTAAGGAAACGGAGCCAGTCAAGGCAAAGCCTTTAGCAACCAGATCAATCGAGACCAATGTCCAAGAAATTATTGATGAAACCCCAGTACCTCAACCCCAACCAGTCAAGGTTGGGTCAAAGCGAAAGCTCGCCGCTCGAGATGATATGGTTACGAGCAGATCTCAGAGGGTGAACAACGAAAACGAGCCCCCACGAAACACTATTGACAAGCCTTCAATACGTGAGAAGGCTGGAGGCCGAACATTGAAAGAACTAAGCAACATGAGAAAGGACGCTCGTGAAAAGGCGAGTGCGACAGGCACAAGGAAGCCCCTTGCAGCCAAGAGCACCAACGACGATTTGACCTCGCCAAAAAAGAGTTCCAAACCAGTTGGGACCGATGAAGTCGCTGCAGCCAAGGCGGATCTCATGAGATCAAAGGCTTCCCAGGAGCGACCTAAGTCCAGGTCCAAGACCTTGGCCCCTATCACTATCGAAACTGTACTCCAGCCTCCTACGGCCCCTGAGATTGTGGAGGTCACATGCGGACTCACAACACATTTTACAGACCCAGCACTTCTCTCTCCCAACTCACCAGATACTGCCGCGTCTCAGGAACCCGGACGAGGGGGAACACCTCCACCTGGCGACGTAAACGCGAGCAGAGAACCAGCAAGGCCCAGCCGACGAAATAGGACCGCAGTCAGCTATGCAGAGCCTAACCTCAGAGACAAGATGCGGCGACCCACCAAGGAGATGCTCGACGCTGTTGCTGGAGAAGGCAAATATGCTCGGAGGTCTAGTGTAGCTGAGCAAGCCCCAGACACTACCCGGACAAAGCGTGAGAGCAGCACTGAAGAATCATGGAAGAACCTGCCCAATGCCAACGCCGTCAACACAGAAAACGAGCCAGGTAGCATTCCCGCTAGCCCTCTGGCTGGCAAAGGATCATCTCCTGAGATCCCTAAACCTATAGCTATGCGTGGCGGAAGACGCATCTCTATGATGATTCAAGACATTGTTGCCAGCAGCGAAACCTCACACGAAGATGGAGAAGTCAAGGAGGAGACGGCTTCTGACACTACTGGTGTCAGTGAAGTTGATGTTTATGAATTCACGCCCTCATCACCACAAAATGACGAAGAAGCTTCTGCTGATATCAAGAAGAAGGTCACTACCCGTCGACCGTCGCGGCGTGTTTCCTCAGCAGTTCACACCGAGGATGGCACTGGAGCTAGGGAGCGAGCCTCATCTAGGCGAAGGAGTATGATCCTGTAATGATGCATATCGCAATAGCGGGAGTTTGGTAGAGCATATGGGCGTTCTTGTCATTTGTTGTTCTTGTTTATTCAAAAGGAGTATGTTGCTTGTCGGCGCTGATACTGCTTCGCTGGATCATACAGACTGGTCACATGCCCAAGATACCTCTACAAAGCGATGGATAATGGTGTTTATTTTGCCAATATTTGTATTTACAGTTTTAATGTCTTTATTGGACACACACAAGACCCAATTGGTCAATATTTGGCAGTTCGTCTTGCCAATTGGTGCTTTGTTGGATATGGAAGTCCCATCTTGTGGTCTTCCAGAGTGTGACTGGGTATAAATTCTGCTGCTGATCTTGAATACGTCGCTGAATGTAAACTCCCCCTATCTATATGAATTTCATGATGATCCTCCCGCTGAAGGTTCAACTGGTTTTGTGTATGTAACCTTCTCAACCGCCACGTTCTCATTGCCCTTGTCGTCCTTTCGTAATTGGTAGACGTATAGGGTGAGTGAAATGCCTTGGACCTAGGATAGTCAGTAAACAAACTCAAACGCAGTCAGTTTGTAAAGCACATACATCCATGAGACAGAAGCTTGGTGTTGGCTCTTCGCTTTCCAGCCCTGATCCCTCTATGAATGCGCCTGTCGCACTTCCAGGATTTACAAAGAACTTGTCCATATACTCGAAGGCATCAAAGCGGTGAGTGCCACCCCAGCACAGAACATCCACATCTAATTTGTTCGCCTCGGCCAGAAGAAGGTCAGGCTCATTAGAGACAAGTGTGAAGCCCTCTAGAAATCCAATTCGGAGGCTTCCGTGGGTGACGACCTGCGTCAATGGCAGGGAAGTGGCCTCGACGTCATAGCGGCCTTTCACGATCTTCAGATCGGGGGAGACGGATCGCAAGTACTCGTACGTGTGCTTATCGGTCAAGTTTCCGAGGCAAAGCGTCTGGCTGATCTTTCCGGGAGAGAGGAGCTTCTTGAACTACAGATACAGAGACGCTGTTAGCGATGCGCGCGACCTTGGAAGCACCGCGCGTACCTTGGCGGGAATGTCAAGCGCCCGATCCGGGATATGGAGGTCTCCTATGACGAGAATGAGGAAAGCCATGATGTTTCTCTAAGGACGGAAGAGAAATCGAGGCTATAGACGTATTCGCGATTGAGTAACGAGAGGCGCGAGCTGCTAACACCTTACCCAAGGTCAGCTCCGAGGGGCACAGCTACAGCCCAGTACGTACGTAGGCGCTCGGATACAGCGGTAAGCTGACGCCACATCCTCATAACGGGGAGGATGACAGATGTGGCTTAGCTTCATCCACCAAGAAGGTCCACATCAAATTCTTATCGGTTCAGCGGGGTGCGATAAGCAAGTAAAAATTTGGGAATTTTTGGCTGGGGTCTCTTTTCACCGAACGATTAATCCAGTTGGTGGTTGCGCATTGAATTGCTCAGAATCAAGATGGCGACCCCTTCTCTGGCTGAAAAGTTGGACAAGATCAAGTCCCCTGGCCTTCAGAGTCAGAAGAGGGTATGCTTTACTTTACTTTGTCCTTTTCAGCGTCTTCAATCTTGGGTCGCACACTAACAACTTTTGCTTGTAGACTGTCGTTGTACTTCAGGCCGTCGAGTCGACTCTCAAGGAACAGAACGCGGCTCCTACGCCAACCGGATACTTTGCCGCTCTTCTCGCCCTTCTTCAGCAGGCGAACAGCAATGACACTGTAAACCCGGAATTGGCGACTCCTGTCGTCTACCTTCTCGACGTCGTTACGCCTTATGCCCCACAACCTCTGCTCCGATCCAAGTTTACACAGATTCTTACTCTTCTCGCCCCCGTACTTTTGTTGCAGGATGCCGAAGCCCCGTTGTTGCGATCGTCCATAGGATGTCTCGAATCTCTTCTTCTGGCCCAGGATGCCGCTTCTTGGGAGCTTTCTGTCTCCCAGATCGGTCCTCGACGGGCTGTTGCTGGACTCTTGAGCATGTCTGTTGACCACCGACCAAAGGTGCGAAAGAGGTCGCAAGATGCTCTGAAGACGGTTCTTCGAAACCCGCCCCCGAGTCCCTCCCTGGATCACCCTGCTGCCGACATGTGCGCCCAAACTGCTACCAAGAACCTCGAGGATCTCGCCGGCAAGATTGCGCAGGCGCGCAAGGGAAAGAAGTCTGATGTTAGCCATGACCCTGCTATGATCCACGCTCTTCAACTGGTCAAGACTGTTGCGGCTGCCAGTGGTGGCTGGCCTAGCAAGAAGATCGAGTCTCTGTGTGAACTCCTCTTGGGCATCGCAAAGAGCGGAAACGAGTACATGACCATGGCGTCTTTCGAGATTTTTGAGATGATCTTCGAGGGTATGACAGATGAGGTCTCATCAGCCAAGCTCCCACGACTTATGGAAATTATCTCCGAATTGCGACCAGCTGCCAACGACACCCAGCTTGTTCCCCCGTGGCTCGCTATTCTGTCCCGAGGATACGATGTTTCCGCCCAGGTCGAGCCTGAGGAGACATTCCAGAACCTCCCCCAGCTGTTTGATATGGTCGC